GATTAGATGAGAACAAGAGAGTGAGTCAATATCTCTTCTGAAATCTGAAAACTTTGAACTACCATGTATTTAATGAAATATAATTTCTCTCTAGCAACAAATTGTGTGGGATGTTGTGTAGTCTCCGACATTTCTCTGCTATGAGTTTAATTGTTTTGTCTATTTGATACCTAACATTCCAGTACACAACAAAAAGAGTGAAAACTTGTTCTTGTGGATTTTGATTTACATGAGGAGGATTGGAGTTATTGTTCTTGTCAAATAACAGGGTATGTCAGATTACTGCCAACGTACACTTCTCATTCATTACAAATGCGGTTAACAAAAAAAATCAACGAGGGTCTATCAGTGTTTTAATAGCTTGGGCATGCTTTGAATTCTTGTTTCTACTTAGCTATGATTGTCGCTTAAGCTAATCACTGAACTACTCTTGTATGTGTTATGATAACTGAGCTGTACAATTCAGATTAATACCATAATCCTATTAGTGGACCACCTAATTTCTGTTAAAACAATAATTTATTTTCGTCTTAAAATTCAACCCCCTGCATTCAGATGTTTCCAATCCAACTGTGTTTCTTGATATAAAAGAAAACTAATACATCACATATTGATGCCTTTTTCCCCCCCATTCATTTTGGCTATCACTGGAGACTATCAAAAGACAATGTTTTAATACAGTCTTTTTGTGTTTTCCCCATGTTTCACACCTTCTCTATTTATTAGAATCAAGTTACCACTGACAAAAAGAAAGGAATTTAATTTTTTTTTCGAACAAAGATATTTTTTCCCCTGGTCTAATTAATTACAGGATCGCTGGATATAATAAATCAGCTGATCGATAATATGCATATGGGCTCATTAATATGCACACTTTAAATTATTGAACTACTGCATTTCTTATATAAAATTGCATACATAATACATAAATGACAGGTGTGTCTGTAATAAAAATAATTATGATCTGGTACATCATAAATGTAGTTGTATATTTATGTGTGCTATTTGAAATGTGCTTTAAATGGAACACCTATGGTATTCACCACTGCATCATGAATCTGTATACAAAGGTTCATCAAAACTAGAATTATAAATGTGGGGAATGTTATTACAGTCAGCTGCCGTACAACGTGATGTAAAGGAAACATCAATCCAAACAACATAATGACCTCCAAAAAAAAAAGCTCCACAAATGTAGGAGAATGCAATTTACAGTTTTTTTTGTATCACTCTTCATTCTCTAGATATTCAACTTTTCATCAGTATGAAAATGGACTGGCAGCCATTTTCTTTTTAGATCTTCAACATATCTGGACCGATAACAAACTTCCTTTATAATCTGACATATTGGACAAATACACATGTATTTTTGTCACCACGAAATCCAAAATAACTGATTGGTGGCTATCATGTTCCACAGTGCCATATCTCATACATGTCAGTCAAGACTGCCGTCTGTTATAATGAATATCAGTTAATAAGTCGTATTTTATTTCATTATCATTTGTATTTTACCTATAAATCAATACATTTCAATATCAATAATCAAAATTTGCAGCCTAGCTGTGACAATTATTGAAACTTGTTATTTTCCTCGCAGCATACGTCACAATACCTTACAAAGATGCATTAGTCCTTTTAGAATACATGACATGTGATGAAATGCCATCCATTTATTCTACTTACTGTATTTGCAAAGTACAGCTGATCAGTCAGCATGGGAATTGTAGACTTAAATCCTATTTCCCATCAGACTTTTTTATATTTTACTCCCATATGCCCAAATTTTTCTTGCCAATGCAATCTATTTAAAAATAGTCTGTTATTAAGTAGTCCAGATGACTATAATATTACATATCTCTAGCACATTTTCTGTTGCATTAATTGTCAAATTCACACCGATTTGATATCTTCTCATTCTGTCAATAACATTGGTTAAAGGTATAATTAAACCTACACACAATTTTTGAGAAAGTTGGTCATAAATTCATGACATTGATTTATTATGTATATTCATAATACTATTGTACTATGTCACCATGAAATATCATTCTTTTGTGTGTTGATGTATTTTGAAACATTTGTCCTAATATTTATCAAAATTCACTATTTTTAGAACTCCATAGAACACAATGTTAATGAATAATTGTATTTTTAACACTTTTTAAAATCCAATTTTTTTAAATAATTTAGGACAATATATTTTTTTCAGCCTATGTCACCAGCCTGCATTTAAAATGTTGCATATCGGTGCCAATAGTAAAAGCGTCAAAATACTGAACAAAAAAATGGACAAATTCTGGGTATTTTTATTTATGAGTAGGCATCTAACTTTCATGGCAATTTGTTTGGCTTACTCATAAAAAGGATTTCTAATTTGCAAAATAGCATTCATAGAAAATTGTGAACCCGATGTTACATGTTTAAAAGCCAACAGTGATGCTGTAAATTTGAATACTATTTATTTCCATGTCTCTCATTGACTTTAGCATAATAGCTTCAATTTATTCAGCGTGTTGATAGTGCATTTGTGGAAAGATATTTCATTTTGTTGCAGCTTGTCAAATGTAAATCTTCAGTAATATTGAGGTCACAAAAGGCTGCCTACCCATCTACTCAGAAGTGTTTTATCTCATAACATTTATATTACCACTTATTTTTCGCAGTATTTCTAAAAATAAAAAAGTTGTTCTGCGAGTAGTTCAATTGATCCCGAATAAATATAAAAGCATATTTTTCGCACATGTACCAGGTCTGACAGATGAAGAAATCGTTTTGGTAATTCCTGCATGTACCATACAACTGTATCATCCTGGCTAGTTTACATGATGTAATTGATGAGGCAATAATAATAATAATAATAACTTTATTGCATCTTTAGAAATACAATGTATCTTTAGTTAATAGCAATAAAGATTAGTTGTGATAACTGCTACTACAAAAAGAAAGTTAGTTGTTAATGGGATAAAACAAGTGTTATATATCAAATGGCATTTTCATTTCTTGATTGAAATGAGTTATGAATATAGTTGCCAATCTTTTTTATTATTAAATCATCTTTTGAAGTCATCAAGAAAATAAATTTCTAGGAATCATCCTGTGTTTCTTGTGGAAACGTAATGTCTTGTATGATTTGTTGACGTATTACTTTATATTGTGGACATATCATAATAAGTACAGTTCATCTTCTATTTCATTCTGAGTGAATTGTTTGCAAATACTATTTTCAGTAGGTATTTTTGGTTGCATATGCCTTCCTTTTTCTATTGCTAAATTGTGATTGTCATTGAAATTCTTCGTTTCAAATTCAACACATCCAAGTATTTTTCAAAATTTTGTTTTTTCAGTTATATTTTTTCTCCAGAAATTTATGACAATGCGACAACTGTTACACATGGTTACTGTCTATGGCAATAGGCGACTAGTTGTCTGAAAACAAATTGAAGTTATTCAAGTGCTGTTGCCAAACCAGTCTTGGCGATACAATTAAATCATACAAACTCGCGAGGCAACACTTGCACTTGTGTTGTTAATAAAGTTACCGGTCTTCTTATCTTTCAAGCAATGCTTGCCTGATTTAAATTTAATGTTTTCCAGTTACTCTACTGTAATAATAAGTTTAATGGTGCAAACACAAATTTAATATACATATCCACAGTGTGCAACTTGAAAGAATTTTTGAATAATTATTTTGTTTTATCTACTAGGATATTGAACGTGGTGTAAGTTATTTAAAGCTAAGACCAGACAGAGTAGCAATGCAGGATGCTACTGCACAAATGGCAATGTTACAGTTTATTTCTAGTGGTCTTCCAAAGGTACGTAAATGAATGCATTGAATAATACCTTGCTTACATTTTTAACTGTTCACAAGTATGTAATTGCGTCCCTTCAGACAAATTTTATATAATATTTTTTTGTTGACTGTCGCTTCTAAAGTTTATAGTTACTAATACTAATGTTGTGATCGCTACATGTACATTGTGTTGTCTTCTAAAATCAAAAATAATATGACAGAACCCCAGTTATTTTCACGAGTGATGCAGTGTA